ATGGTATTGTGGAACGCAGGGGGGGGGAAGTTTAAATAAAGAAGTAGAATGGAGACAATGGTTTAGTGGAACGCAGAGGGGGGTAAGTTTAAATAAAGAAGTAGAATGGAGACAATGGTATTGTGGAACGCAGGGGGGGGTAAGTTTAAATAAAGAAGTAGAATGGAGACAATGGTATTGTGGAACGCAGGGGGGGGGAAGTTTAAATAAAGAAGTAGAATGGAGACAATGGTATTGTGGAACGCAGGGGGGGGTAAGTTTAAATAACGAAGTAAAATAGAGACAATGGTATTGTGGAACGCAGGGGGGGGTAAGTTTAAATAAAGAAGTAGAATGGCGACAATGGTATTGTGGAACGCAGGGGGGGAAAGTTTAAATAGAGAAGTAGACTGGCGACAATGGTATTGTGGAACACAGGGGGGGGTAAGTTTAAATAAAGAAGTCGAATGGCGACAATGGTATTGTGGAACGCAGGGGGGGGGAAGTTTAAATAGAGAAGTAGACTGGCGACAATGGTATTGTGGAACGCAGGGGGGGGGAAGTTTAAATAACGAAGTAGAATGGAGACAATGGGAACGCAGGGGGGGGGAAGTTTAAATAACGAAGTAGAATGGAGACAATGGTCTTGTGGAACGCAGGGGGGGGAAAGTTTAAATAAAGAAGTAGAATGGCGACAATGGTATTGTGGGACGCAGGGGGGGAAAGTTTAAATAGAGAAGTAGACTGGCGACAATGGTATTGCGGCGACAAACTCGTGCGCGTGCGCGCGTGAGACTAACAACGCGTCTTGCGCGTGCGCGCGTGAGACCAAAAACGCGTGCTCAGGTGAGGCCTTCTTGCGCGTGCGCACGTGAGCCAAAAAACGCGTGCGCACGTGAGGCCCAGACCATGACAGAAAAAGTTGTCAGGGACTTCTGTGGGAATAGCTTACATCCTGGACTTATAGATGCAGCGCTAGGCACAGACAAACAGTTCCGAGCGTGGGCTGCTGGCACCAACGATGCACAGGCTTGCCATGCAGTAGCCCCGCCTATCAAAGACGTACATCAAGACTATCATGAGCTACTAAAGCTCGTGTTAGCACAAGGATCAAAAAGAGGCATTAAGCTTACAGCAGATAAAGTTGACTTTGAAGCTAAATGGCATCAATGTGCCACCGACGTCTCAGGCGATGATGTCATTACGTTTTACTGGAAGTGAATTCGTTTTGGTGCTCTACGTACAATCGGACTTTGCTTACCTGAGTGGGTGGCGGACATTGACCTGATGCGAAGACCTTCAAGTGATGAATGAACTGCTCACTGCTGAGACACTGTTCGCTGCGTAAGCTCCTGTTTAGCAATCCGTGTCACACGACCTTCTATTTTGTGTCGCCTGACTACGCTGCAGAGTATGCCGCTTTGAGCTACACTGTGTTTTTGAGTGCCTGAAGGCCCTGGTGGGGTGGGTGCAGACTCCTGCGCCGTGAATCCCCCTGTGGCCTTTTAGCTTGTGCCCTGTGGGACCTGCTTCTTAGCTGGTCCACAGTAGTGACTGCTGCCAGTACCTGCCTTGGTGCCCCGTGACAGGGCTGCCCCCAATTGTGGGGGGCTGCCCCTATTACACTATCGCCGCTTTTGAGGACACCAGTCGGTGGATACTGAGCTCACCCTTACGGTGATCATGCCAACTCAAATGATGAACTGCTACTACGTGTACAAGCACTACTGAGAGGCCATTGAGAGCTTTGCAGTTAGGCTGGTAGAGTTACGGCTCGTGGTCATCCTTTTTTGTTTGGTTAGTTCGGCCCTGTTGTATATAGATTGTGGGTGTTTGACTTCGTTTTAATTCGTTTGATTGCGTGACACGATCAGGCATCGAGGGCTTTCCTCATGGTGCCTGGGTGGCTGTTTTGTGAGTGTTCTTGTTGGGCTCTGGCCCCTTTCCTTGTTTGGTTTGTTTCTTTTGGTGTGTTGTTGTTTCCTTCGCGTGGGAAGATACGCGTATCTGACCGGGGGATGTGCATTTCTTCCCTACGCTCGATTGGTTGTGTGATTGATTGCCACCGGAGCTTCGTGTACAGCTGCCACAGAGGCTTTTGCTTTTCTCTGTATTTTTAGCTTCGTTTAACTTGATGAAAGGACCGAACCACTGAGCTTAATCGGCCACATCCCGGGAAAAAAACATCTGGAGCCCAATTCACTTAGCACAGGTGGCCTGGTAACTGGCCAAAATTTGGAGAGATGGCTTTGGATCCAAAATGGAACCTAAAGCCAAGGTGGGGTGTGAAATTTACTCCATTGGACTCACATGCATGCAGTAGGCTCCAGATGGATTGAGGTGATACAGAGAAAATTGGAGGAACTGGTCAAGCTGATCAAAAACATTTCTAGAGCGATCCCCAAACATCTTGCACCCACTAGCATGGCCAAGGATGACACGCATGAAACTTCATGCATGTTGTGCCCAAACAGTGGCTCAAAGAAAACGTGTGGAAATAGACGCTTGAGTGCTCCGCCAGATTTTCTCAGCTGAGGAGCGACTGTGCTTGAGTCTGTTTGTTGAGTCGATGAGTTTTTCAGGTGGAACCCACAGTTTCCAAGAGGTAGAACCAAGGTGCGTCTTTGGAAAGCGACAGGTGCTGCTTCCGACACCCCGCTTGAAGAGCAGGACCCGCATGGAACTTTCCTTGCAATGGTCAAGGAACTCAAGGGACTGACGCAGGTGAAAGCAGGCCGCATCATGCAGGAGAAGGAGGCTATGCAGTTCTGCAAGAAGATGGGTTACTAACAGCAAACCTGAAGCTGACGAAGGGTTCGAGCTTGGACAAAGGTGCCAAACTTTAAGGAGGGTGCAGCGAAGTGATGCCTCTCATGCATGATATGGCAGCCTAGTGTATGGGTTGGCAAAGTGTGTCACCATGTGACAGTTGGGTGATACATATACTCCGCAGCCCCTAGTGCTTGCAGAGCGAAATTGAACGCCCTCATTTTTTCCAGATCACCCCAAGCCAAACCAAACCAACACATACACATTGAATGTTGACACGTTGACACAATGCATTAATGTGCAACACGGTTTTGTCCAGGATCATGCACCCGCCCTTTTCATTGCAACATGTTTGATGACTAAAACCTTGGAATCGCCTTGACAAGATCCACCGGCAAAAATTATTTGCTAACCGATGTAGCAACGTATTGAGCCCTGATGGAAAATATGGGGAACCAACAAAATGACAAGTGAACAAGGCTTAGGCATTGAATTGGATGGAATGGGCTGAATTCGAGTTGGACCAAAATGTATCAAATAATGCAGCAAGGAACTGCGAGTTGGGTGATAAATTCCACTTTTAAATGTGGGGAAAATGAAATCCCACATCGTAGCGACAAAATGTTCTCATGTAAATGTTTCATACTCCATTTTTTTGATATTTGTTTCAAAAACGGTGCCAACGTCAAAGTGCATGTTTGCTTGTCGGCATATTTTTACGCATTTCACTGGGAACCGAAATTTTGACCCAGCTGCAGATCCAAAGGGAGAAGGATGGTTGGCCTTTGGCGTTGCCACAGATCTTGAGGACTGGGGTGACTGGGAAAATTTTTTTGGACCACAGGGCTAAACCAAAACATTTGTGTCCACAACAATTCTGGCAATTGAAGGGCTGAGCCAAACTTCGTAGTTCATGGAAAACAAACGACCTTGATTTTTGGGAGTTTCCACCAACTATGTTGAAATCAGAATGATGATCAATGATGTGAATCATGTGAAGCGAAACTTTCACCAGAGAGAAACTATGAATTCTTCATGGTTGAACCGAAGTAGAGTATCTCATGGATCCCCAAATTTGTGATTTGTTGTTAGCTCTCACAGCATTGTCAAACTTGGGTGCGTTTGAAAATGAACCTCCCAGAATTCCATATGGGGATAGATCAAAAACAATTAAACATCTAAAACCACCCGGATGACTACCCATGAATCCCAGCTATTTTGGGGTGAAAACCCAGGTACCAGGGTTTTCACTCATATATGGAAATGGATGATTCTTCAATGGATGGAGTGGGGTTTTCCTAGAATTTTCAGGTAATTACCAGTCACGGAAATATCCAGGATGGGCAGTGGTGGCTCGTGTGAACTCACAAAGGAAGAGGCGAACTAGCGCCGTTACCTACTGCCGTTGGGGGTATCTGAACAGAAGGACATCCTGTTTGGATGGACCATTCCCACTTATTTTCTTGTCATGAACATGTTGAGAAAGCAGAAGGTGGTCCCATTTTGCGTATTGTCCCATCCAAATCATCCACGTAATTATAGTACTGAAATTTATTAAAAAATCCCTCAATTGTTGTCAAAAATGGAATAATGACATTGTCACGTAACATATATCACCCTAAATGATCCCACATGCACATACCTTCATGATTGTTTTTTTCGACCATGGTTGCCCACGATTTTTGGTACGGACACTTCCGATTCGGTTACTGCATGTTAATGCTTCATGTGGTGCCCACAATGTTTGAAGAAATCGAATCCATGAACGGATTGTTCATTTGTTTATCATTTTTTGCATTTGAAGTGGGATACCCTTTGAAAATCGTCCCACTTCGTGCTTCTGTCTGGTTCCGCTGACGAAACTCTTCCTCTAGGCTGCAGCCGTGTCAACCGGCCTGAAAGAGGCGCGGTCGGGACATATTGGGACCATGTTGGGATCGGCACGGATTGCGAAGCGGGTAAGGAGGCCATTTTTGAGGAAACCAGTGGTAGATCTGAAAAACATCGTACATTCTACAGACATCTACAGACATCTACAGCCATAAATCTCGATTCAAGTCTACCCAGGTGAGCAAGACAAAGATATGGGATGTGGGACGAAGATTCTGCAGATCTGATGAGATTGAGCAGCTCTGCTTCACATCATGTAGCATCATTGATTAGCAGATTGCCATGAGAAAATGTACACGATCAGACATTAACACCATTAGCCAGCTGCCCTGAAGATCTGCAAGCGCTTTGTTGAATCTGTTGAATCAAACCCACTTGACATTTGATATGCAGGTTGACTTCACAAGACAAGTCCTATCTTTTCCTGTCGAGCCCTGCCTTCCCTCGCAAGGCTCCGAGTCTAAAGACCAAACTGGAAGACCTGCAGGCACAGTTCGAGTCGGCGACAAGTTTCGGTGGAGGGGAATTTCACAAACCTAACATCTTATACTGCTTTAATCTATAAGATGATAATTCATGAAATTGTGAACATACCTGGATGTGTGGCATGTTGTTGCGCTGGTAGTCAGACCGATTTTGTCCTTATCAGATGCATGGTCCATCAGTTGAGGCAGCCGCACAAGAGTCCGAAAAGCTCAAAGAAGAGGTGCTGTCAAGTCAGACCTCATCGACTTTCAGCATCTTTCAATTTGCATGTCAGAAACAAATGGTTCAACTACAAGAGTCACAATCCTCAACAATCCATTCTTGCCAGAAAGCCAGCTTTGCGGACTCTTCTCACGCGAATCGAAGGTTGCAGCTCTACAAAAACGAGTCAAGGAACTGGAGGTGAGGATCACAATCAGCATCACGTGGTGTCTTTTCCACCAAAGGCCACAAAATCAGCTGGGAGTGTCTGAACATTAGAAAAAAACATGTTCCATCCAGCGGTTGATAAATATGTATGAATCAGCCTATCAGGTTCCCATCTTTGGTGAAAATAAATTTCCCCAAGACTCGCTAATAACATTGTTGGCGTTGCAGTTGCGGCAAATTTCAGTAAGCTCTTCAGAAAGAACATCAACACCTCTTGTAGTGTCGGCGACATGATATATATGTATATATATATACACAATGCATACATTGATATGTATATCGTTCTACCACACTATGTTCCATCATCTCAACTCATTTTTTTGGGGCCTTGTAGCACCAATTCTGACCCGCAAGGCCGCCGCGCCAATAGACCCTGAGGTGCCACAGTCGCGTGAACATTTTGCCGCTGCTTCACCATGAAAATCGGGATTTAATGACTTAATCAACAAGAATTATATCATCAACCGACAAACATGATAATTTTTCTATTATATCATCATATATCATCAACCATAAACTTGGGATATACCCTGTAAAAAATCCCGTAGACTCTGGGCAACAAAGGGAAAACCACTGTGGGTGAACCACAGGATTTCTTTGCTTCAACATAAAGACTCAGCTTGGAGATCAAGTGGGGGCTTAGACAGCAATTGACTGCCAAAACTCTGAGGATAGGAGTGCGAGGACCGCAGGGATCAGCTGAACCGTCTCACAGTCCTGCGTTAGGCAGACAAAGCTGCTGCTGAAAAGTGTCAAGATCTGAGATTTGGAATTGAGCAGGCTAAAGTCCGTTGCAGTGTTGAGTGCGCATTTGTTGAAAAAACATCACGTGAGTAGCTTGCAGGAGTCAATTCCAATGTTGGAAGAAGTGAAGATGTCAATGAGACCCAGAGTAATGGAATCAGGAAGTTAGAGCGCTCCAAACAGCCCCAACATCTCAAGAGTTATTTGATAAACCCCACGCTATGTGTTGGAGGGCGTGACTCTCTTTCAGCTTTCATTGGGTGGTGTCCATTTGCCCCGAGGCAAGAACATCAACGAGGCTGCGCAGGAGGGGAATGTTGCTGCGGTAAGGCACTTTCTGCACATTGACCCTGAGAACGTGGAAAAAAAGGGATATAATGGCCAAATCCTCAGAGTTGGTGAAGAAGCTTCCGAGTTTGAAGGCCAGATGCAGGTGTTTGATGGTAGATGATGTGTATTAAGTTACCGATGAATGGATGCAGTGGAACCAGGCTGTAGGTAGACTCTAGTGTTCGGGGCAAAAGTGCCTGACTGTTGGGGAAAGATGGAGAGAACAGAGGGCCGAGTCATGTCGCCTGACAAACATTTGATTTTGAGGGGCATGCACCTGTACCAATGCTATTTAAGGGCCCAAAGACTCAAATCCGTGCATCTCCATTTACTGATGATTCCATCCCGTTGTTCGTTAGATCCCCAAAATTATTATGGTTGATTCAAGTTTATTTCATCCTGAAATTTCTCATTTTTGTTGGTTCAACCCCCAACTCTGGTTAACAATTTCCACCATTCTTGGTGAAATCTCTGGCAAAATCTCGAAATTTTTTCCATCAACAATAGATTTCACCATTGCCATGGTGTTTTCAAACCAACTAGGTGAAATTTCTTGGTTACTGACTGTTACGTGGATTCACCTGGCCGAGGCATGCGGCCGCTGGCCTACGCGGCCTGCTACGGCCACGCCTCGGTGGTCGAGCTGCTGCTGACTGAGGGCGCCTCCGTGGACGCGACGGACGAGAGCGGCGGGCGGCCCCAGCTGAGGAAGTTGAAGTTATAGGTAACCTGATTGACCTGGGTTATCCATGGTTATCCCATTTATAACTGGCTTAAGGCTTATACCCTCTGGTAATTTGTTACATAGCTATTGAAAATGGCCCATAGAAGTAGTTGATTTACCTATTAAAGATGGTGATTTTCCATAGTTGTGTTAGTTTACCAGACGGTAACCTGATTGACCTGGTTTTTTTCAAACGCCCATTGATTTTCGGTTGCGGTTGTTGCACACTTTTCGGAGTCGACCACAAAAAGTGGTTTTCCAAAACGACTGGTGTTAATTGTTTGTGGAAGAACTGGCATTAACATACACCAGTTTGTCGATTTTGCGATTTTGTGGCCCAGAATGCCTTAATCCAGCAAAAGTAGCTCTGGACCAAAGGTTGGTTTTAACAATTCCCTTGTAGATTGTTGCATTGGTTTTGGTTTCCACAGGTTTTCTTCCAAATTTAAGCAAGAATCCGCGACTAATTTTGCGTTCAAAACGCCTCTACAAATCAGGAAAAGTTGGTCAAATGTGTTGTTTCTGATCCAGTTGTGGTCGTGCCTGGTGGTCAATGACTTCTTCTTGAATTTGGATTGGCACTTTAGACGTTGGACGATAGCTATGGTCAAAGTTAGGCGCACTATCATGTTTCCAAATCCCAAAGAAAAATAAAAAGACATGTGCTGACATATCATAGGCCTCATCGCCATAGCACCCGCATAGCCGGCTGAAAACACACGACCTTTTTTTATCTGGAAATGTTTTTGGAAACACCCAGTTTTGGTAGTACAAATCACATCCTCCAGAAATTTCTGGTAGAATGAAGGTCCAGGAAGTTAAATGTATTTTATCGATAACATCATGATATATTGTTCAATATAATATTGTACTGTAATTGCCATCGAAAACATCATGATATTATTCTTAAGTCTTAGTTGATTACTTTTTCATAGACAAAAGGGGGGTTCTTAAAATGGGGGACCCACAAAATTGTCGAAGTTGTTGGTCATTTAAAAAATACCCTGAAAAGGGGGACTCCAATCATGAGAAACACTCATATAACGATTGGTGATGAGTTTTCCTTTTTGTGCCATAGATGCTTTGCACTGTCTCACCATACTAGGCTTGTTTGATGTTTGACGCAGCAGTCCCTACTTTGTACTTTTCCCAGATTGGTGTGTGTTGATGGGGAGTGTCTTCACCTATGCAGTGGTTTCCAGCTTCAGATCCACTTGGAGGTAGGCTTTGGTTTTCACAAAGAGCCTGGGATTTCAGTGCCGAGTAGAACTTTGTGTTTATTCTCTGATTGCGTAACGGTCTAGCCAGCAGCCTAAAAGGGGTGAGAACTTTGTCGTGATGTGCTTTAAAAACCAAAACGAGGCACAGAGAGGGCCCACACATACTTTTCTTGCCATTAAAATCGCTCAAGTCAGAAGTGTTTGCTAATTTTTGGATGGGTTCACATATATATATAGATAGATAGATAGATAGATAGATAGATATGGGGCCTGCCGATTCTCGAAAGTCATCAACTTCCGCTCCCCATCTGAGGCTGCACGGCGCTGCAGTCTGCTGCCAACAGCGGCCAGGCCGCGGTGGTCGAAAAGCTGATCTCTGCGGGGGCCAAGTTGGAGGTAGTGAACAACGAGGGCGCCTCGGTTGTCCCGGTGGCCGATGGTTCTGAGGTGATGGGGTCATGGACCTCTTCCGAGGAAAAGATGAGTTCCACAAAACCATGCGTTCCGAACATGCAAAACCATGGAAAAAAACTGATTATATCACAATGTCATACAATATCTATCAATATCTAATGATTATATAATTACACCGACAATGCGTGCAGTAGCTTTGCTCCAAAGACGTAAACTCTTGTTGCGAAGACTCCAAAGCAGCTTGTGCACTCAGTGACATCTTCAGTCGACAAGGGTGAAGAGTTAAGTCTGACGTTGGAGCCACGTGCTACTGCTTCGCAAAAAACTAATCCAAGTAGGCAGACACATTTTTTAAAAACGACGCTTTCAGAAAACATCAATTGTGTGTTGATTGCCATGAAATGCATCATTTTCAAAATTCTACACTAACAAAACAAACACAACCAGGAAACAGCAACGGACTAGTGATTAGGTAGCTTCTAAACTCCCAGCACGAAAGCCTCCATCGATATACCCGCGTTTCGCGGACATTGGATTTTCTAACCGTAGAAGGACCTTTTTTGGGTTATTCGGTTCGTAAAGATTGAGGTTTATTGTTGGTCAATCTCCGTTGTTGCTTACATCCCCATGATATTCCACTTGATCAACCTACACATTTCAGGTAGATTGCAATTTTTGCTGCTTAAATCAGAATTCCGGTTGGTTGAATCCAGATTTTTGCCGGTAAATCAACATTTGTTTGGGTTACATAAATTCTAATTTTTGTTGGTTCATTCCACCAATCAATTTGGTTGTTTACATCATCATTTATTTTGGTCAAGTTAAATCACAGTTCTTTGTTAAATCCATCCGATCATCATTTTTGTTGGCGAAATCATCATTTTGGTTGGTTACATTCAGATTTTTGTTGCTTAAGTTCAATTCCTTGCTGCTTGGAAATCAGTCAAATCACCATTTTTTCCAGGGAAACCACCATTTTTTCCAGGGAAACCACCATTTTTGCCAGGGAAACCAGCATTTTTTCCAGGGAAACCAGCATTTCTGGTGGTTCAATCCCCACCTTTCCTTGGTTGATCCCCAGCCGCGAAAGGCTGGACGCCGCTGCTGGATGCCTCCGCCAACAACCGTCCCGCTGTGGTGGCGGCGCTGCTGAAGGCGGGCGCCTCCATGGAGGCGACGGATGGATGCGGCCGGGGGCCCCAGGGGGATGAACCGAGTGACCATTGAACATGGGGATTGAATGGGGATACCCTCTGGTAAACATACAAAAAGCTATTGAAAATGGCTATAGAAATAGTGGATTTTCCCATTAAAAATGGTGATTCGGATATGGCTATGGATCAATACCTATGAAAATACAATGGTTATCCCATTTATAACTGGCTTATACCCTCTGGTTATGTCAAACATAGCTATTGAAAATGGCTATAGAAATAGTGGATTTTCCCATTAATAGCATGGTGATTTTCCATAGTTATGTGAACGTTTACCAGGGTATATCATGGGGATCTGACTTTTTTGAGATATGTTTTTGGATTTTTATAGCTAACTAGTCATCTGGTTAGTGGCTTCAAGCCCCTGCAAAACTATGAGTTGGGATATCGTCTCCAATTGGGTTGAACATAAAAGCTCTTGCAAACAACAAGCCAGTTATGAATCCCTTTCCCAGTTCATATTAAACACCTGCCAGAAACCATGGGTTTTCCTAGTGTTTAATATCAGGAGAATGGATTATAACTGAACAACATTTGGAGTATAACACCTATGACGTTGCACCAGGGGTAAATCCCCACCAATAAACATAATGGGAATATACCCATAAAGGGGGATGGTAATCCCTCAATTTTCATAGGGATTGAGGTGCCCATTATTTTTGGAATCCCATTCACGATTGATGTGGAAAACTTGAAAGTATTCATGAACCCCTGGACATATGACGCACATGTTACAAAAGTGAAACCCTAAACTCTCTGACAAAGGAAAAGAAGAACGCATTTAGTGTTGGAACGATGGCCTTTTTATTGAGTGCGATGCTAGACATGTATAGAAATGTGGTGAACCACCAATTTGCCAGATGGCGCCATGGCCACCCGCCACCCGCCATACCCAATGGCCGTGGCCATCGTGGCCATCGTGGCCTTTTTTCCCCAGGTCAAACGGCGCTGCATTTTGCTGTCGACTACGGCGATGAAGCCGTGGAGGTGGTGGAGAAACTCATCGCTGGAGGGGCCAAGGTGGACGTGGCCAACAAGTTCGGACTGGGCCTTAGATCGCTGCATGGGGATATCTCGGACTGGGTGTTATGGACGACAGGAAGGCTTAGCCTGGAGAATTCTATCCAAATTATATAGGATATTTCCATATATTTCCATCATATCCCTATTATAAGTTCATCAAATCACCATGTTTTGTTGGTATTGGCCGTAGTGGCCTTCGTCTATCGTGGCCTAGGTGGGACGCCCCTGGTGCGAGCCGCACAGGAAGGCTACGTCCAGGTGGTCCAGGCGCTCCTCAAGGGGGGAGCTTCTGTGGAGCTGCAGGACAGCGATGGCTGCGGCCTCAGTCGGAAAGGCTGTGGAGAGCTGATGAGTTGGGTGGTAAGGTAATCTCAGCCCCGGATGAAGCAACCCTGGTTGATCAATTTAGGGGGTTCCCCTGAAATTTGGCTCTTGAATGGTACCACCCCAATTGAAGAGCCCAGGGATTTATTAATTTGGGGTTCACAATCGTTGCTTCTTTTTGTGCCAATTTGTTGTTCTGCTCTGCTTGGAGTTATTTTGTTTTTGCTGCTGCAGAGTTCTTGGACAGCCCTGGGATGGAAGTGCCGTTTGATTCTGATGTGTCTCTAGGGCTACCTGATTTCATTGCTGTGATGTATATGCCACACTCATGTTTGACTGACCCGCAGCCTTCATGGGTCAAGTTCCCCTTGCAAGGTTGCAACTCGCCTGTTGTGCCAGGCGCAATCATCCTCGCCAGGTGCTTGAGCTAGTGCCTGCTGGCGTGGTTGCTGAAGCAGAAGAACCAGAACAGGAAGACGGTGTCAGCACCACTTCTGAGAGCACCAATCCAGGGCCGAGACTTCAGCTGTGGGTTGTACCAAATTCCGGGTGTCCAAACGCCGGCATCTTAGGACCGACTGCAAGGCTTGGAGCCTACTTTGGATCCGAAGGTCTGGAACCTCCTGAGCGTCTGTACCACAACGAGATCAGGTGGTACGCTGTCTGGCATATCCCAGGCATTGGGCGTTGGAGAGTAGCTGGCATCCATTGGGGTTTTGACAACACAGCCTACGTTGTAATTTTGGCCCTTCACCGTGGAATCTTTGAAGGGATTGCTTTCAGGAGGTGTGATTCGCGTGAAGAAGCGGCAGAGATTTTCAAAGCAAGGGCAGAAGGTTTTGATCTGGAAGAAAGTCTGAGCAATCGCATTTTTGGCTGGAGCTTCACCTATCACCTTGAAAGCTGGCAGCCGGGGTTTCTTGAAGCTCGCTGAGGGCTTCGAGACGCCGTGTTGGCGCGAAGCTTTAGTGGTATCTCTGGAGAACGAGTGGCTTCAATGCTTAGTGCGATGCTCAAGGGCAGAGATCGAGAAATCCGAGTTCAGCCACATCGAGAACGACGAGGGCATTTTCTGCTTGGTGGAAGCTCCCTTCGACAAACTACTGGGGGGAGCCCCAGAGGCATGCAAAGAGCTTGCAGCCGACCTCAAGGAACTTCTGAAAGCCGGGTTGACGGCAGTTCATTCAGAGGGCGAACTGATGTGCGCCACCGCCTCAGATCAGCCAAGACCTCGAGCTGTGAAGAAGAAGAAGTCAAAGGAGAAGAGAGCTTCAAGCACAAGTTCAAGCGGCAGCTCAGAGGAGGAGACCGACCTAGCAGCTGCACTCCGCAAGAAATGGCTCGGGTCTGGTACCACCGCCGTCGTGAAAGAAAGGCAGGAGGATTCGGACAGTCCCTTCACCAAGAAGAAAAGAAGCCGCTTTGCCATGATAGAGAGGAAACACAAGGATTCAAGGCGAGACACTTCAAAAGACAAGGATCTTTCAGAGGACACCTTGTTGAAGGCCGCAGCCAGCAGCTCAGATCCGCTCGAAGGGCTCCTGGCCTTGCAGATAGCACAGAATTTGCAGGGCAGTTCACGGAAAGGCCGAAGGCGAAGATCGACCCGAAGTTCAAGCCGCAGCAGTTCTTCGAGCGAGAGCGACAAGGGCTACTTCGACTAGTCGTTGAAGGGCCACTCAAGAGCTGTAAAGGATTACCAAGATTCAAAGAAGAAGATGTTTCGGAATCCTGTGAAGCACGTCAAGCGCTACGTGCGCTCTCTGCAGGAAGAGTTGGGGGCTCAGGAGAAGCCTTTCAGGCTCGTAGACTACAACCGTCGGATTCAGTGGGGCAAGCACCGAAGTCTCCAACGGTGCCACTATCTGGTAAGTGTGATATTGGAGGAGCTCCTAAGAGAGGAACCCGAAAGGGCAGCTCTAAGAGCGGTTTTGACACTTCAAGCACTTCATCAGACTTCACTGGACAATGGGAGCTGGCAGATCGGATGGCTGCTCACTCACGTGGAAGATCCCTTCGAGAAGAAGCTTTTTGGCGGAGGTCCACAAAGCTTACAGCACGTGACGAGTTATCTGAAATCCATGAGCGAGCTCGCAAAAACGACACAGAATCTACGGGGAAAAGGCTTTGGCAAAGGCGACCAAGAGGAACAGGAACCCAACAGAGAGGGCAAAGGCAACAAGCGCTCCCAGAAAGGCAAGGACAAGAACAAATACAAGGAGCAGACCGATGCCTGAATAGAGCAGCTTCTGAGCCAGAATGCGGCTCACCTTTTTTAGAAGTAATAGTCCAAAGCCTAGAGGCCGGTAATGGTGCCTTTAGCAGATTTTGGAGATTGATCAAGTCCTCCGATTTGAACCGGAGGTCGGGGCCTATGACACCTTCTGCATCAGAGCAGAAGGCACCACTTTTTCCGTCTCTGCTGGTGGCTTGCATTGAAGGCAAGTCCAAGGGCGCTCGCAGACGAGCGAGGAGGCGAGGCCTGGCAGTTTCTTGGAATCTGGTCGAAATCATGTGGGCGTATTTCACCTTTTTGGAAGGTGGTTCACATTTCAAGAGACTCGACCAGCAGCGTCTCCTAGATAGGGCAGTTTGCACTCCTTGGACGTCCTCACATGCTGCATATGCCGGCTACATGCATGACGAAATTAATAGATATGTACGCCTCCAGAGTTCAGAACCTTTTAGCCGCGGCATATTGAAATTAAGTGAATTAGTTAGCATAGTCCGTAATTCAGATTACTCCAGTAGCCAAGCTATAGATAAGCTAGCGAGAGTAGCAAAGAATGTGAAACCAGAGAGAATGTCCCTGCCTCAGAAAGCCGGCATCATCAGCCCTGAGCAGTTTTTGAAGGGAGAGCATCTAAAGGCATTTCAAGAGATGCCATCCACGGTGCCTCACAACCTGGCGCCTCCCAAGCCGACCAAAGGCTGTTTCCGAGTTGAGCCGGATGACCTGGTTGCGGTGAACCACAAGCTGTTAGAAAGTGGGGTTGCCACACTACCCCCCGAAAGCTTAGCCCTAAGGGACAGTGAGGGAAAGATCATTTCAGGTGGGCTTTTTGCAGTCGATCACAAAGCCGAAAGCGATCGGATCATTCTGGATCGACGGCCTTTTAACGAGCTTGAACGCAGGCTAGTATGGGCCAGACTGCCACACGGTTCACTGTTAACCCAACTCATTGTTCCAAAGGGATTTTCAATAAGGGGTAGTGGGGATGACCTTAGTAACTACTTCTATCTCCTCCAGCATAATCAGCAGTGGTTGCCGCGGAACGCCGTAGGTCAGTGCTTTGATGGGGAAGGTTACGAAGCCTACGGGGGAAAGAAGGGTGAGAGTTATTATATCTTGAGTTTCCGTGTTGTTGCGATGGGTGATTTGAATGCGGTTGACATAGCTCAGCAAGTCCATTTTGAGATCCTGCAGGATGGTTTGTGTATGCAGCCTGGAGAACGTATAGAGGTCAAACAGCCCCTACCGGCTTCACACACTCTTGAAGGCTTGTACATAGATGATCATATAGTCACTCAAATTCTCCCCTCAAGGAAGTACCGTAACAAAAATCAAAAGTTCAGGGATGAAGTGATCATGCAACAAAGCAGAGAGCAGTACTCAAACCATGGCATACCTACTTCGGCCCATAAAGCCTTTGATAAACAATCAACTTTTGTTGCTTGGGGCACAGAGGTAGAAAGCCGTAGTGGGCGTGTAGGAGCTCCTCGATTCAAGCTGCAGCAACTAGCTTCACTGCTAGTTAGAGTGTGCAAGCTACCGGTGGTCACACGAAAATTGTTGCAGGGCATCACAGGGCTCCTAGTGCATCCTTTCATGCACAGGAGATCGATGATGTGCTTGTTGCAAGAGACCTTCATTTGGATAGAGCGTATCAAAGATGGTGATAGGAAAGCCCTGCCCACAAGTGTCAAAGAAGAGTTGTTGTCTTGTGCACTTCTCCTTCCCCTTTGCCACACTAATGTGCGCTGGAATGTTTCTTGCAGAATCGGAGCCAGTGATGCGTCGACCACCCACGGAGGCAGAGCTGCCGCGATTGTGACACCACCAATAGCCCAAACTCTTTTTAGGTTTGCAGAACACAAAGGCGAACACGTCCGGCTAGATTGGGCTAAAGGCCAGGTGGAGCCGCCATGCAGCATGCACCAGGCTCCTGAAGAATTGGAATCGCTCCTCTTGAGTTTGCCATGGAACCAAACCGAAACATGTCACTTCAGTCACAAACAACATATAAACATCCTAGAAACACGGATGATACAGAGAGAGCTCAGAGACGTTGTTGAAAAGACTGTGCAACCACTCAGGCAGGTGCGTTTTGCTCTGCGACTCGAGAGCAGCGGCTGGAGCCTGGTCGAAAGGCCGTTCATCAGCTCGCAATCTGAACAGGTTGCTGAGACAGTCACTCGGTTGGACCCTTGCGGGGCGTAAGTCCCTCCATATAGTTTGGGTTCGGTCAGGTGCCAATCCAGCAGATCACCCCTCCAGATGTCGTAGGATTCCTGAACCACCTGAAGTACCTAGTCAAATAGCCGTTGACGTGCTAGGTGATAATTTGGAAGAATATCGAACCAGGCGGTCCAACAGGGAGATCTGGAGGCATGTCGAGCGCCAAGACAGCGTCTGACCGGCGGTCAGACCTAATAGCCAGTCAGTGCTAGACCAGCAGCAATTAGGAGACCAAAACAAGAAAGCCAACCTGTCCTCTCATCCAGCCGCCAAGCACTGGAGCTTCAGGGAAATCTTTGCGGGGAATGCACACCTTACAAAAACTTTTCGTCACCGAGGGATGTTTAAGGTGAAACCTCCAATTGAACTAATGAAAGCAGGAAAACCAGTAGCTTCACATGACATTCTGGATGATAAGGTATTTGACAGGCTTTGTCAAGAAGCATGCCAACCCAAGCAGCTATGGCATTTTGGTTTCCCTTGTGGTTCGTTTAGCATCATGCAGAATATTAATAAAGGCACACGCACCCATGAACAACCACTGGGTGACAACTCTCTCCAGCGTGAGCGTGATGGAAATGAGATACTTTGTCAGACCCTGCACCTTTGCGAACTCTTGCATGCACATGGTTCCTTCTTTACGCTTGAGAATCCTCTTTCCTCTTTTGCTTGGAAGACCCCTCGAATGCAGCAGGTTGCAGCTAAGTGTTCTTGTAGCAGCATAGATCTTGACCAATGTCGCTTTGGGCTCATGATACCTGATAGCGATGGAGATTTGAGGCTAGCTAAGAAACCAACAAGATTCCTGGGGACCATGCCAAACCTCAGCAGATTGGGTCTCAGGTGTCAAAAGGACCACACACATGTTGCAGTGCTTGGAGGAGTCAAGGTTCAAGGCAAGTGGCAGAGACGTTCACACCTAGCTGGAAGCTACCCACAAGCACTGTGCACGGCATATGCAAAAGCCTTCGAACTAGCATTCAAATAGCGGTTACATAAGAGAGCAGTTTTTTCAAGTGTTCGGACTCAGTTTCTTATTTTCTACCTCCTGCATGGTTCTGCATGCCTGCCTTGTTGGTACAGCCGCGAACTGCAGGTGCTGAAAAGCTGCGCTGGGGGAAGTACAGCCCAGCCTACAGGAAACGGCTTCTGGAAGGATGTCAAGCTCTTCAGAGCTATCTCACCGAAGTTGAGGTACCCTGGGAGTCAGTGATCCATCAAAAAGCCAGTGTGGTGGATGAGGTGTTAGAGCAGTTTATCAAACACTTGCATGACAAGCCATCGAAATCTGGACTACGAATAGCTAAGCACGCCGTGCTCAGTTTTCAGATCATGCGACCGCGCTTGCGTCGCAAGTTGCAAGCGTCGTGGGACGCTATCAAGTCATGGGAAGAGCAGCAGCCCTCCAGTTTTAGAGCACCTGTACCGATGACATTGCTCATGGCCATCACATGTCAAGCAGTTCTCAACTCTGAAAAGTCGGATAGCAGAAGTGAAGCGAGACGATGGCTGACTCTGGCGGTTATGGTACTCACTGGATTTTATGGACTGCTGAGACCTGGTGAGCTTCTGAACTTGAGGGCATCAGATGTGGTGCCTCCAAATTCAATGTCTTTAGGAAGTGCCTTCTCAGTTGTTAGGATTGCTCGACCTAAGAATGCTAGACAGATGGGGATCCAACAATACGTCGAGATTCGCCACCCTGATGCAGCAAACTGGTTAGCGTGGCTCAAAAGTGAACGTCAGCCAGAAGCAGCATTGTGCAACAGTACTCCTCATTGTTTTCGTAGCATGTTCAAATCAGTGTGTCGCAGTCTCAACATAGAATCACTACGACTGTCACCCGCTTCCCTGCGTGCGGGGGGAGCAACCTGGTTAGTTGACCAGGGGGTCGAAGTCGGACGTTGGGCTCACATGAGATCGAAGAAGTTCCTCATGCGATTTCATTTCTTGGTACACCTGCCTGCTTTTCTGGCTGATCAGGTGCCTGAAGAGAATCTCCTTAGGACCGAATTTTCTGCCATCCCAAGTCCAAGCCATGCCATTGCCAGAGCTAGGACCTGGGGAAGACTGGCAGAAGCAGCTTCGCAAGGTGGTAGTCAGTGCGGGACCCTTGAAAGGTGCCCGGTATCCCGAAGTCAGTTGGGAGGACCTACGAAGGGCAGCCAAGTCCTACAAACAAGATCCCAGGTTCTGCCAATATGCGAAGAGGATGATGAGTGAAAAAGCCTTGGGAAGCCGTCCAGCCCAACCGCAGACAGCATCAAGGACTTGGCGAAAAATGGGAGCTGAGTGGCTAATGTGGGGCCTTGCCAAAGCAAAAGGCAAAGCTGTGCTGTTCACTTTTTTAGCACTTTTGGCATGCATGTTGATTTCGAGGCCACTCTTTTATGTGGTCATGGCCAAGAGTTTGACCATGGGCATCCGATTAGTGCTTCGTCGCAGTTTTGGACTTGTGATTATAGTAATTGACGCTATACTGGACGAAGTAGCAGCTAATTTGGAAGCCAGTCTGCTCACACAGCCCGTGCCTCAAGGAGCACCACCTCAACATCCCATGCATGCTTTTGAGATCCAACAGCACTACTCCTTTAGTTCAATCATGCTTCAGTTAATTTTCACATGTCTAGGTGCTCTCATGGGCAGGCACTTGCCACGGACACAGCCAGCCGTTCGCTACCCCACACGCCTTCGAGTCGTGTGAGGTGGGCACTCCTGTGCCCTTGAGGGTTTGGAAGGATTGGAATACTCTAGTTGTGAATGCTTTGCTAGGCTCACCATTGCTTGTGGAAGTTAAGTGAGAACCTGTGCGCCCCGACACCGGGGACCGGTTGCTCGGTGGTGCTAGTAAGTGGACCTACTTCACTTCTCATGCATAGATTTGCCACCAGCAGCAGCAGCAGTTTCCTTCCAGCTTTCAGCCGTGCAAACGGTTGGCCAAGAAGGCCAACAATAGATCCAGCTGTGCCCCGAGAAAAAAGGGCACTGCATCAGCTGCGGGTGGACTTCAAGACATATATATATATATGTATATATATATAAGGGGATGATTTAGACCTTCATATTTTGCCTGTAATTTGCAATTACAATGCAACAACCCCTAATTATATCAGATATTCCAGTCAATGTGACAGCGCTGGCATCAACTGCTCCTCCCTTTCTTGTGACGGTGCTTCCTAAAGCCCTCTAACTCTTCTATTTGACGCACGATCCCAGCGTGAGGGACAACGAGGTTTTCTCGTGATTGGTTTGGTGTTGCTGTGATGATGATATGATTAGTCGTTCATCCCCCAAAACAACTTGGAAAACAGGCAGATTTCTGCACAAACCCAACCCCTGGTGCCGAGGCAACACGGCGCTGCATTGGGCTGCTGGCAGCGGCCATGCGGCGGTGGTCGAGAAGCTGAGGGACGCAGGGGCCAAGGTGGATGTTGCCAGAAAAGATGGCCCTGGCCTCGGTGGTTTTGGCAGAAGTGGTGGGAGTTTGGAGCGGCAGCTGACTTCTCCTTGTTGATGTTAGGGATGTTAGGGATCTTAGGGATGTTGGGGATGTTGAGTCTTACTTGCAGTTAGTCCTTTCCATTTTGTTTGGTGAAATCCGTTGTGGTTAAACCCCGAATATCATGGATTTATCCGAACCAACATCTACCTTTCTCCGTTCCCGCGCCAAAACGCTAAGGCGAAACCCCTTACGACCTGGCCAAGAAGGGCAACCACCAGACGGTGATGGACCTTTTTGAAACCAGTCCCGTGGCCATGATCCGTTAAGATTGATGGACGGACGTCGATGGACTACATAGCTTGTTTTTGTTTGTATTGCATGAAATCTAGCAACTATGTGGTGACAACAAGACCCGTCATTGACTGTATTTGGATCCAAAGTGCATTGCAGAGCGTAATCTGCAGATGAAAACTGCGTTCCGTGAAGTTGCCATGTTCCTCGCGCTTGCGCGGGCAAGGCTTGATTTTTCTACAGCATCCTGCAGCGGATCCAACTCAGACCTGACGGATATGCGTCTGTGCCAGGCAAGCACTGAATCGTACTGTGGTGAACCCAATAATAGACCGTTCCCGTTCCTACTCACCATAAATGGGTGGTAAAATCATGCCCAAGTGGTAGTTTACCACATTGCCATCGGTGCGTTTCAGTTTCAGTTTCATTGGTCACCAAAAAATGGGTGACGCTGTGCAGCAGGGGATGTGACCAACGCCAGAAGTGCTGCTGATCAGATGGCTGAATCTGTTGCACGCACGGACATCTTCTTAAAAGATTGCGAGATTCTCTCCCAGCCTCGCATGGCTTCATTTTCTGACATGGTTCGGATTGCAGTGTTTGTTGCAACGATGTTAAAGGGCAGAAAGGATTCCAGTGCAGCCCATTGCTATAATTCTTTGCTCGTTGGAAAGCGAAGTCCTAAAAAACTACTCGAAGTTGTCCTCGGCTCAGCTCATGTCAAGATTTGCCAAGGTTTGTGCAGGCTCTGCAGCTTTGGTTTGACGAATGCCTTCATTTGTGACTATATGTCACTATCCACACTTCAAAAGGAATACATGTAACACATCTTTGCATCGACTTTCCTGTGGATACCTTTGCATGGCGCAGTTTGCAACTCCAGTCGCAGACAATTTAGGAAGAGGTGCATCGGTGGTAAGGACATTGCTTCATGATTCATGGTGCAGGTAGCAGAGACTCATCACAGGGAGAGAACAAGCATCTTTCCAGAGTGCCTGTGATAGGTTTTCACCAGTCACACACACAATGCGGATGGATTATAAGTTAGAACCCATGATAGATATCATATTCCAGGGACGACCATCCATGTGCCAACCATTCACCAACTATTTTTTAATGATTTTGATGTCCATCATGTTACAACGACATACAGCGACTCTATTGATCTCTGGCGGCATATCTTGCCCATCTTTGTGGCAAAGTCCACCTGGCGCGTCAGCCTCAGCTGTCGGATGTGCTCCGTCAGATTTTCGCCAGGGGCGGTAGCTAGCAAACTTGGTAAACAGTCTGATGATTAATGGTGGGATAATTCTCACGGTGGTTTCCAGCTATAAGCTGTCAGATTTAATACGCTATTGTTCTTTATAGTTGTTAGTTTGCATGCAAAACCCTGCACTTATGACATCCTCTAATGCACATGTTGTCTTACCTCATTTTGGGTGTGTCCCGGCTTACTTTGGCCCAATTGCTGTCAAAACAAGCGTCTTGGCAGCCGTTCACTGTCGTGCTCATTAAATCCCGAACTTGGCTGTGGTTAGGTGATTGAGCTGGTTAACAGCCTCAGCAAATTGTATCCAGCTTACCTTAGGCTTCGGCTTGAGCCCCTGAGCTAAGCATCCATATCTATAACCCCGTGATACTACACATCAACCAGTGCTATTTCGAGTTGCCGCCAGTGTTGTGTGTTGTGTCATCCCAACGTTCAGGAACCAGTTTCTCTTGGACGTTCGCAGCAGCCTTCTCGGAAAGGGCCATAATATAGTTGAGCTGCCGGTGGGGGTTTGCATACGTGCAACATCACCTAATTTCCAATCTCCGTAAATAAGGTAGACTGGCCCCTTAGCAATAAGTGCGTGATCGTTTGCCTACAAGCCGAAAGATTGTCGGGGCGTTGCCATCCATGGCAACACCGTTTAAATCAATCCGTTCAGTGAACCACTTTGCATCCGGACCACTCAAAGGGTGTTGCTTTTGTGCTGCATTCGTGTCCCTGGAAACATACTCGGATCACAAAAGTATTTGTTCAGAAAGGTGGCAATAACATTTCACTAAATTCCGGCATCGCTGTTGCTGGCATCTTTTGCCATTAGTGTTCCCTTAACTCACTAAGTCGCTAAGTGAAGTTTAGACTGGTGAACCTCAGCTCAATTCCACATATCTGCGTCAGTTGAGTTCAAGTGACAAGTGCTGGCCCGACGCATCCATTCGCAAGTTCCTCAGTGCATGCATCGGTCAAGTCCTTCAGACAGACGCTCCAGGTCTCCAGCTCCAATTAGCCAGGCAGATCTGTATCGGCGTTGTCAGATTTTGGTGTGGCGGTACCGAAAGGTGACACCTCAGAACCGCGGGGGAAAGTCTGGAAGAGGCGTTTCAAAGGTGCTTGTTTGTCAACTCTTGAGTTGTTAATCTACATCTTCAACTTCGGTTGTGAGCAGGGTGGGTCAGCAGATCAGATCAAGTACTAGAATTTTTTGCCAAGGAGGAGAGAACCGCTACTTGAGGAGGAAGAAGACAACAGGGATTTGGATTCGGAAGTAGCTGAGGCTCAGTACATCTGAGATCGACCAACTGCAAGGCATTTGGGCAACTACGTCAGCTGGTCCGAGGGAGCCACACCATCCTCCACCAGGACATCGACCTTCATCAGCATCAGCTTCTATAGGCCAACTCCCTCATCTCGAACATCATCTTCTAGACCAACTCCGACATCTCGAACAAGGGTTCCGGAGCCCCAGCTAGTGGACTTGACTCAGGTGCGTGTGTCAGTTGACAACCCTCTCTTGAGACGGTTCGCAACCTTGCCCTGGGGTGCTGAAACCTACATTCAGAGCAATCATCCAGCCGATCAGGTTCCGATCTACAGGGGTCGAAAACCAGTGATTTGTCTTGATTTCCATCAGGTACTAGACAGAGTTCGGCTGGGACGAGGAAAGGGTGATCTGAGGCTAGAGGGTGAACACCTGAATCCACACGTGATCAGAATCCTGACAGGTTTGGAAGAGATTTTCAGTGTGGGTGGTCCATATTGCTGTGCTCCAAAATTTCGAGAACACGTTAGAAGCTGCTGTGCGGGAAGATCTTGTGTCGTCATCACTAGTGACAGAACGGGAAGCATTGGAAAGCTTGCGGCAGTCAAGGCCCAACTTGCTCCAGAACTTCTTCAGGACACTTTCATTTGTGACGACGATTGCGCAGTTGTCTGAGAGTGGTTTGAAAATTCACAGCAAGGGATTTGCAGCGAACCTTGCGGAATTTCGGTGCCAAGGAAGCCCAAATTCATTCAGCTTAGATTGGTATTACGCCAATTTCGGCGAAGCACTTGAACGGAACATATCCATTTGCAAAGAAATTGTAGAGATCGTGCGTTACCAACCGGCATCATAGCACAGCTGCGGGGTGTTGCATCCGGCAACACTGCTTCGCATCATCCGCAGGTGTTTGCCTCCGCGGCAACTTTGCGTGATCTATAAAAACTGAGGGGTGAGTTTCTTGATCGTCCGCCGAAAAAGGTGAAAAGTCAGGGATTTGCCTCAACCCGTGCTTTGGTTGTGTAAGAACCCTACATCGCTTGATAACCAATTGTTGTAGTCTGGCATTTTGCCAAGAATTCCATAACCATGCCCACAATCAATGAAGTAATGGCAGTTGACGATAGAAACATGGATACTTCAGTAGAAACCTCATTGCAGATATCTTCCACATCACCTTAACAGGCACCACAATCTAGAGCACTGCATGTGAAGAAGAGAAACACCAAAAGTTCGGTTCTAGGACTAGCAGTGCCAGTTCCTCGTCTGGTAGACCTCCCATAACCGGAAGCCATCGTGGTCAGGGTTCTTTAGCGCCAACGCCAAGGGGTCAATCCAGCGTTGCATCCGAGTCCGGGGGCCATCAGTTTAGTTGAAGTCCACCAGCATGGTCAAAGATCTACGACTTCCAATCAATATGGCCAAAGGTCCAATGTGCACAATGCTGGCCAAAGGTCAGTCAATGTGTATCAACAGGAAGTCCATCAGCATGACCAAATGACGGTTGTTTTGGATAACCGTAGCATGCAGGTTGGTATGGATCCCATCCTCGTTCAACAAAGAGAGGATGCATTGAGGGCTGAAGCTTTCCAAGCCGTTAGTCAACTGCAATCCCGAAATCGAAAGATTGAAAGACATGCATCTCAAACGCTCCAGCAACGGAACAGTCTTTTACAAAACGTTTTTTCCTCACATCCAAGGGTTCAAAAGTAATCAAGGGTCACATGTTATACTAGTGGCGCTGATCTGTTCAATTAACATTGAGCCATTTCGAAAAAACCGTGAGTCAAAGAAGCTGAACTTGGCACTTGGCTTGAGAGTTACTTCCAATAGCGCTACTCTTAAATTTACTAGAGAAGAACCGCCATCCGGATTACTTACATTACGGATGCCAGAGCCCACAGTGGATCCCACAAACTATTGAAATCAGAGTAGGCCCATGATTTTGCGACAGAACATACCTGAGTTCTACCAGGTTAGATTTGCGATGGATCCTACTTTGTCCAACATTAGTTTGCGATGGATCCTACTTTGTCCAACATTAGTTTGCGATGGGACCTACCCAAATCCATCTCAAAATGATGCCAAATCTAACTATGGCCATGGTATGTGCTAGCAAGGTTTAACATGATTTGTCTCAAAACTCTAGGGTTTTGAGTGCTAGGCAACAGTTTTTGGTTAGAGATGGATTTGGGTAGGCCCCATCTCAAACACAGCCTGCCAGTATTAGGGGTATTGGTAGTGGACATGTGTCTGAAAAGGCTTGCCAGTCCAAATCAATGCTTAGGGATAAGTCTCACCCAAATCCATCTCTAAGTTGAATTTCAAAAAAGCATCTCTACCACATTCATTTGAGACAGATGGCACAAAATCCCCCAAATTGTTTGAGACAAGTCCTTGGTTTCCAATCAGTCTCACCTGCAGCGCTTTGAGATGGATTTGGGTAGGTCCCATCGCAAACTAATGTTGGACAAAGTAGGATCCATCGCAAACTAATGTTGGACAAAGTAGGATCCATCGCAAATCTAACCTGGTAGAACTCAGGTATGTTCTGTCGCAAAATCATGGGCCTACTCTGATTTCAATAGTTTGTGGGATCCACTGTGGGCTCTGGCATCCGTAATGTAAGTAATCCGGATGGCGGTTCTTCTCTAGTAAATTTAAGAGTAGCGCTATTGGAAGTAACTCTCAAGCCAAGTGCCAAGTTCAGCTTCTTTGACTCACGGTTTTTTTCGAAATGGCTCAATGTTAATTGAACAGATCAGCGCCACTAGTATAACATGTGACCCTTGATTACATTTGAACCCTTGG